CTTCTGTCAGTCTGCCCCAGGGCAGCTGTGGCTACAACTGTAGCTTGCCTTCACCAGTGTATGAATGTGAGAGTGAATGAATAGTGTTATTGTAAAGTGCTTTGATGGGTCCCGAAAAACGCTATATAAATGCAATCCATTATTATTATTATAAGTAAATGAACTTATTTCTAAGAATGTTTTTCCTTGACGAAAACTGGTAAAAAAAAAAGGTGGGGGGGGAGAAAAAATGAATTGTGCAACACCACAGGAACCTTAGTGGATGTTCCAGGGAAGGCACACCTGAGTGCGGTATACGATGAATTGCTTTGACATTGTTGTCCAGATCATTTAGTGCTTTCAGGCATCTTTGCTATTCTTAGCCTGCCTCTACTACCACATTTAACCAGTACACAGCATCAGGAGCAGTACCGCTGCTGGGAACCGGTTTAGACGTTAGAAGCTTAGAAGATATTTTCCCAGGTGTTTCATGAAATTTGGATCAATTATACCTCTAAAAAGTGCAGCCGCATCAGTTAATCTTTGATCACAACATGGGGTTTGAGACAACTCGGGAAGTGCTTTGAAGGCAAAAGGAGGAACCTGTTGTTTTTCATCAAGACAGTTAATTAGTAGCTGATTTCAGTTAGGTTGGACTATGTCTCTCTATGTGTATCCGAAGGATGTTTCTTTTATTTTAACTTCATAACTGTCTTTTACAGCATCTGATTTTCTTTCCAATGAAGTCTGAACTTTTTATACAGTCTTTGTACTTGTCATGTTCTTCCTGCTTCCTTGGACTATAATCTCTGGTACTTCCACAAATAGCATGTTATAACTTTTTTTTTTTCTACCTCCGCGTTGCTGTCTCTCTGTCTCAAAATTACCCATGCAGGCGTCTCACCAGGCATATGGTCCCGTTGAGCGCTTCCTGCTAGCTAATTTTGAAGACCTGGTGTTGCAGCAGATAATGAGGGCATAGTTTGAGTAAGGGGGTCTCCATGTCATTTCTACCTTCCCACAGCTATTGCAACACACTCTATTATTCTTTTCTCTCTGCCTGGATCATTAGACAAGTTTCTTCCATGGTTAGAGGTGAAAGTGAAATTTGGTTTGGATTTGACTGACAAATAGAAAACGTTTTCTAGAAAACACAAATTTGATTTAATTTAAACTGGCTTTCCTCGTATTATGTCTGGAGAACATGAAACAGAAATTCTTCACAAATGTAATCAAACTGTGAAAGAGAACCTCCTTTTCTTTAGATGATTTACATTGCTGGACTGGACGCTATATTTTTTTCAGCAAACAATAATATGTGGCAGAGCAGGCAAAAACCTGGCGAACAACATTTAAATTTTTTTTTTTTTTTGCTTTGTAATGTTTCTTTAGGTTTTGAAACTTAAAGATTAACATTTGCAAATGTAAATGATTAAACTTCTGATTTAAAAAAACAAAACAAAGCAAAAAATCCCCCCTCCAACAGACTTAGAAGAATCCAGTGATAAATCACAATCCACGCATTATTGCCAATGGCTATACATGGAACAGTTGCCAACATCACTAAAGGGGGAGACTTTCTCTGGTGCCTTGCCTGGTCAACCCTCCCTTAGCAGTTTGGCTGTCTGACCCTGGGTTCCCCACTCGCAGCCGAGAAGTTTTTTTGCATTTTATTCAGCAAGCTACATTTTTGGGACACAGTTTTGAGAGATTTTGCAGACAGTGAAGTTAAGATAACAAACACTGGGAATATTGCAAAGTCTAGTTGTTCTCGATGGTGTCTTGCTTGGTTGTTTTTGTGAGCACCCAGGACTGCAGCGAATGATTGTACTGTAGTAAATGAGGTACTTTTTCTCACCAATAACAATCATATCATCACCGAGTGTGGCTTGGCTTGTGCAGTTTATTTTATCTCAAGAAGGTATTGAGAGCTACCCCTTGTTTACAATTATGTTGCCTAACAGCTGCATAATGACTCAGTAGTAAAGTGGAATTGGCACATGATTGCAGGATGATGGTTACACTGGCAATCAGTATAAACCTGATTGGTCTCATACTAGTGAGATGCATGCTGTTATTCATTGCCCGACATGATGGAAAAGTAGTGAATAATCAACCTTTTTCAGTCATCTGTACATGGCTTAATTAGCATCATTTACAGAATTGTGTAGGTAGACATTAGGTATGATGGTTCTGTAAATAGGTCATTTTCCCTCACGAGGCTCATGCGTTATCCCCGTTTGTTGAAAACGGGTTTAGTCTGATGAACAGAAACTAAAAAACAGGTTTTGTGCAATCACCTCACATGTCCACCGTATCCAGTTTTCTACAAATAATAAAACACAGAAAGTCCGTCGATGCCTTTTAAGTACGGAGGCTCGGTGAAGGAGACTCCCTCTTTTGAGCAGTGTAACGCGGCTTGGTAAACGCTGACGCAAACAGAAAGCTGATTCGCTTTTGTGTCAGGTGAGGCGTCAAGGGGGAGCAGCTAGCGATGAATGCAAAATTGATATTCATAGTCAGGCTTCACTCCAGCCAAGGGATGCACTGATCTGAGTGTTCATAGAAAGTTTCATTTGCAGAGCCAAGCAGTTATGCAGACCACGCGAACACACACACGCGAACACACACACACACACACACACACACACACACACACTCACACACACACACACACACATACACAGAAAACCCCCCAAAAAACATTTCTACAGACAGTCTTTTTTTATCTTGCCTCTGTCAGTTCAGACTATGATGACTTTATTTTATATTCAACTTTGCCACCCTTTCAGACCTACAACAAGGGTTGGCTCTACAATGTGTCTTGCTGCTCCTGCTCCTCAGATAGGTGGCGAAAAATATTTGACATCTCATATCCTCTGGGATTAGCTACATCTTTAAAATTGGAATTTCAGTATAGTACACCTCTACCGATAACAGCACCAATGTTTAGTATTGGATTTTCTTTTTAGAAGAAGAATGATAAAATATATTGATGTGACATGCACAGGTGACTATATTTACCTTATCCATCTCCACTAGATTTCTGCTTGTCTTGCATAATTAACAAGCAGTTCCATATAAAACTGTCTTTAAAAAGTCTGCCAGAGACTTTTTAAATGAACCCTTCAGCCTCATATCATCTATGTAGCTTGTGCCATACAACTAAACGAATTAAACTAAAATGACAAAGGTTACTGTAATTACTCATTTAAGGATTTATATATTGAAATAATTGCCATAAACTTACATTTTTCAGTGGTTTAAAAGGTCTTTTGGTCCAATGTCAAATAAAAGGACACATGTCTTAAGACATATGTAAAGTAGCTTTAGTAGGTGAGATGCAGAATGTAAAGCAGGACCGAACACTTTTTTTCTTTTATAAAAAATGGCTTTCGGACAGTAAACAGATGTGCATACTGTTCCATATGTCATATACAAATGCGGTTATCAGAGGACTTGGCAGCACCGGGATGCAGCCAGAGTTCATTGTTGTTGTCCCTCCTTTCATGTTTGAGGTGATTTGTATATGCATTCAATCATTATAGACGCGCAGTGTGTCACTAATGAGAAGTTTAATGAGACTCTCTCCAGGACAAGCGGCCAGGGCCAAGGCCTTAGACGGATTATGAAATCTTCTATTTCC